TATATATATATATATATATATATAAAAGGGTGTATCATTTTAAGTGATATGGTCAATTATCTCGCGAATCGATAATTTTATTAGTTATTATAGACAAATGTTATTCAGAACATGATCCTGAATAACATTCAAGAGGTTTTAGCCATCGGTCGGACACCTTGTGTAATGCTAATGGCGGCGATATTGTAACTTTCAAGCCTCATAACTCGAAAAGTACTTAATGAAAATGAACTTAATTATAGTGTTTTGGAAAGCTCTCGAGAAGCTATAAGAATATGTAATAAAAAATACGGGTTTCTATTTTAAAAAACATTAATGACCCTGACCTGATTTTGACAAGGTCACTCAAGGTCAAGTCCACATTTCCATCATATATCCCCTTCAAGCCATGCAACTTTTGTTTGAAAAATTTTTCAATAAAATCATCGATTCGCAAGATAATCGACCATATCACTTAAAATGAAACACCCTGTATATATATATACACACAGGGTGTAACTGAAATAACGCCCACTAATCATACAGTGCTATTTCTAATAAAAAACTAAGTCGAAAAGTTCTCTACCATTTTGCAATTTTTACAATAGTTAACGAGATATTAATTTCTAAATATTGCCGAACAAATGGATAAAATCGACAATTTATACAAACGCATAAGACAATTTTGAGATATTTTTCCGTGTTCTTTGTGAAATATTTTGAAGATTTTTCTTAAAGAACTCTTAAAGATATCTTGAAGTTGTCTTATACGTCGATTTTAAACATTTTGCTTATTGGGTAATTAAAAAAAAATATTACGAAAATTGCAATATGGTAGAGGACTTTTCGTCTCAGTTTTTTATTAGGAATAGCACTACATGATTAGTGGGCGTTATTTCAGTTACACCCTATATACATATTTAAATATGACATATAAAGAATAATTAACAATATATTATAAATATAAAATGGACGTAAATATTTTATATATCTAACGAAAAATAAATAATATTTATTTTTATAACAATTTTAATATCTTGTTAATTTTTCTCCTTTGACTTTTATTGCCACCAGTACTCTTTTGAAAGAACAAATTGAAGATATTGTATAATACTTATAGGCAAGGCTGTATGTAATTATTTTGTGTGATTAAAAAATTTCAGTGATAATTTATAATGTTGTTTAATATTTCAGGATGGTAAAAATGAGCCAGAACATGTTAGAAAACTATTCATCGGCGGTTTGGATTATAGAACAACGGACGATTCACTTAAGAAGCACTTTGAGCAATGGGGAGAGATCGTAGATGTGGTGGTTATGAAAGATCCCAAAACCAAGCGTTCAAGAGGTTTTGGTTTTATCACTTATTCCCGTGCTCATATGGTGGATGATGCTCAGAATGCTAGGTAAAAAAAGGATTTGCACAAGATTGTAAAAAGATGCTTGCTCATATAAATTTCTATTTTTTCTTTGCATAAATTGATTCTCTTATTTATTTTATCTAAGAAAGTAACAATAAGACTTTATTTCCTGTTAGTTATAGTCTAAGAAAGTGAGTTTACATAAGAAATTAAAAAATTTGTACAGGCCTCACAGAGTAGACGGTAGAGTGGTTGAGCCCAAAAGAGCAGTCCCTAGGCAAGAAATAGGTCGGCCAGAAGCTGGAGCTACTGTAAAGAAACTCTTTGTTGGTGGTTTAAAGGATGATCATGAAGAAGAAGATCTCAGACAGTATTTTCAGAGCTATGGCAGCATAAACTCGATTAGCATAGTGACTGACAAGGAGACTGGCAAGAAACGTGGATTCGGCTTTGTCGAATTTGATGATTATGATCCTGTCGACAAGATCTGTCTACAGCGTAATCATCAGATTCGCGGCAAGCATGTTGACGTCAAAAAGGTGAAAAGAATTTATCTTCAAAAATTGTTCACTATTAAAATATACAGATTGCATAAAAATTTCTAAAAGACTAATTCGATCTTTTATTTCTTTTTAGTGTTTTTCGTAACTTTTTTCTAATATTTTACATTTTAACGAATTGTCATATATAATATACATGTCCCATTTTAATGTCCCACCCCAAATAACTTTTATTTTTGATCTTAGAAAAAAATGTTTCAGACAAAAGTTGTATGGCTTTGAAGGAGACATAAGATGGTGTCATTAGTTTGACCTTGAATACTTGCTTGAAGGTCATGTGGAGGTTACCATCAATTTCTTAAATGGAAACCCCTATTTTTCATTGAATATTCTTGTAGCTTACCTCAAGAGCTTTCTAAAACACTATAATAAAATATTTTTTCATCGAATACTTTTTTAGTTATGATGTTCGAAAGTTACAGTACCTCCGGCATTTAACACTATCTAAGATGTCTGACCGACAGCTAAAACCTCTTAAATGTTGTTTAAGATCATAAACTAGATAACATTTGTTAAGATTAAGACCATTGGAGATTGTTCCTCTTATTTTCATTTTTACGTTAAAATGAATTTTTAGTGTAAAAATGAAAATAAGAGGAACAACCTCCAATGGCCTTGATTTTCGAGCATTGTAACTAAAAAAGTACTCGATCAAAAAATATTTTATTATAGTGTTTTGGAAAGCTCTTGAGGTAAGCTACAAGAATATCCAATGAAAAATAGGGGTTTCCATTTAAGAAATTGAAGATGACCTTCAAGCAACTATTTAAGATCAAACTAATGACACCATCTATGTCCCCCTCAAAGCCATACAACTTTTGTCTGAAACATTTTTTTCTAAGATCAAAAATAAAAAAGTTTTTGGGTGTATTTGGGTGGATCATTAAAATGGAACATCCCGTGTGCGTGCGTGCGTGCGTGCGTGAGTGAGTGCGTGAGTGAGTGAGTGCGTGCATGCGTGCATCTTTATAAAATAATTCAAATCTGTGATATTTTATTTTGATGTTTTCGTATACAATATGATATAAAATATTCTACACTGTTTCTTCATTTTTCATAAATCTGATTGAATCAGCTGAATAGTTCATATTTTTATTAACGTGACAATTTTTATTACAGGCTTTAAGCAGAGCAGAAATGGCATCTGCTTCTGGAGGCAGCGGTGGTGGTGGCGGCGGCAGTCGCGGTGGCCAAGGTGTAGGCAGAGGACCCCGTGGTGGTAACCAAGGCGGTGGTAGCTGGGGAGGACGTGGCAGCAGTGGCGGTGGTGGTGACTGGAATAATGGTAGTAATCAAGGTGGATACGGTGGAGGTAATCAAGGAGGTTGGGGAGGTAATGGACCTTGGGAGAATCAGAATCAAGGTAAAGATTTGCTTGAAGGTATTTGTCTTCTTATTCCTCTTAGAACTTGGAGTTGACCTTGCATTGATGATGTCATACTGTATTCAGTAATATATTTAAGAATTGGTTTCAATGTGTAAAAAAAAGGCTATAAATATGTGAGTGGATTCGAAAACTTTATTAATTTCTCAATCAGATATAATATTAAAAATTTTATGTTTTTTTTCTCGGTATGTAATATACTTTAAATTATCTATTGACGATTCTTTGAGATATGCCAGGGTCAAAGTAGCAATTGCAGTGCAGAGAGAGCTTTGTATTCTAAAGAATAACGTTATATGACATGATAAAAAATTACTAGAATAAGCAAAGAATAAACTTAAAGAAACAAAA